AAGTATCATTACCTGTCGCTAGGTCCTACTTGGTAGGATTCTTAACAGTAAGGACTTAAGAAGATTAAGGAAATAGGTGTGATAAGATAGAAGTTAAAGAACTTAACTATCGATATCGCATAGGCAACAGCCTAAGAACTATTTCTCTAATAGCAAGATAAGAATCATTACCTGTCACACCCCTGTACCTTGTAGGATTCTTAACAGAGGAGACCTCTTACTATATCTGGAAAGAAAAATTGTATTTATTAGATAGGTATCTGTAGAGTTATAGCTAGAGTAAGGTATGCTACCTGGACTATAGGTTGAAAGTAACAGGACATTCAAAACAGAATAGCATTGCAGAATAAGGATATACTGTCTAAGCAAAAAGTATAAATACTCAATCATTGATGGAAAGAAGTAGAGTTTACAGAAGCCCTAGTACTCTAATTCAAATAACATATAGGCATATTATTATAAGAAAAAGTTATAGACTCAATTGTAAACCAGAGTCTACTATTACTAATACAGATAAGTTAGCAAGCTATCTACAAAAGTATTAAGAATCCTACCGAGTAGGACCGAGCGACAGGTAACGATACTTCTCTTGGTGTAAGGTGATAGTTCTCAGGCCTGTGCCTACGCAACCCCGATAGCCCAGTCCTATGACTACTATCTTGTTCGCGCCTATCTCCTTATTCTTCTCCTTAGTCCTTGCTTAGGACTTAATCTCTCCTCGTGGGAGGAAAGACAATTCTTGGGTTTCTTAAGATAAATCTTTTAAAGAAGATAAAGGTAGGTTTTATTGATAATAACTTAAAGGTAGGAAATAAACAAGAAGAACGTGTGAAGAACTAATACTTTGGAGTCCTAGTGATCCCTTATATAGTAGTTCTTCACCTGGCGTGACTCATACCTCGCGTCACACGAACCCTGTGACTCATAATCATGAGTCATGCAAAATCCATCAGTCGACTTGTATGAGTCGCTGCGCCACATGCCTAAAACCAATCAAAACATAATAACCCAGTCAGGTGCGCAACTCGCGCCACCTGAGTGAAACCCATGACTCATAAGTTGAGTCATGTGCGAAAATCATAACATCGTGTGACTCACAACTGTAAGTCACGAACAGGTAAACATAATAACCTATGGCGCACTAATGCGCATCATGTGAAATCCCAACATACCTATAACTCGGAAGTCCGAGCTATGTGAAATCTGCCTCGCTTAGTCACAGTTTGTGACAAAAAGAGTTTTAATACTTGGACTTAATAACTTTATGTTTGAAGAGAACTTACTATTAACAAGTTCATAAGTTAACAGTATAATTTAAAGGTCAGAAGGTTAAGATGAAGGAATTGAGTACTTCAGACTAGAAAAGAAGTTTATATTATACTCTTTCAGTTGAGAAAGAACTTAGTAGATTCTGGAGTCAAGTAGGATAGCTGCTATTAGGGTCTAAAAAGTTCATACCTGTATTACAGACACAGAATTCAGAAGAGAGTACATGTTATGGTAAAAGTTAGATATAACTTATAACTATTCAGATATGAAATATAAATATCAAGATATCTTTCTAGCTTTCAGATATTATCAGTAAAGAAAGAAGAGATTTTATTAATATATTTATCATACTATATTAATACCTACTCTATTGTAAGCTTTCTTGACCATACTCTAACAAATCAACTAGTCTTAATTACAACTTGCTTGTTCTTAGAGTTGACTACCACTTAACATTTTTATATAAACAAGTAATATACTATACTTGCTTAATAGAATTCTAATTTGACAAAAAGAGACACTAATGAATAACTTCAATACTTCTTACTTATAACTCTAAGTTGGCTATAGTATCTCTAGTAGTATATTCCAGTATCCTATCTTGTATTAGTTTTAAACAAATTTTATCAGAATAGTATAGTAATTTTATATTTTTATAGATAATGGAACTTCTAGTATATATATAATAGGTCTTAGAATTTATTGATTTCTAATCCAATTCCTAAAACATTCCTAGTACCTAAATATCCCAATATAAATATTTCTGCTTTCCTTAATACTTCACTATATTATAAGTTGAATCCTACTCAGGCTTTTCCTTAGCCATTATTAAAACTCCAGTTCAGATATGTTATTGACAAATAATCTACATCTCATTGGTTTTAATCAACAATACTACTTCCCACTCTCTCATAGTTTGCCTAATATACTCCTAAACTTATATAAGTTAAATTTATTAATTTCCTTTTATAATTAGTAATTTTTGCATTACTAAATGCTAGTTCTAATAAAAGAATACTAATAGAGGCTCTTCCTTACTAGTACTACTCAAAAATCCTTTCCTCCAATATAAAAATTTAACTCTTAGATAGGCTATTAATATAATAAATTTCTATTATATACTAATATAATAAGGTAAACTACTATTCAAGTTAAGCATTATATATAAATATATTTTCTAACATGTATGAGAATCTAACTTACTTTCATGTCAATATTCTATTCCAACTTAGTGATCATAATATTAGTTAAGCAAATACCTGTCCTGACTATAATAATATAACTTAAAACTCCTAGGTTTTTGTTGAAAGTGGTTTTCATCCTACAAATTACTTAAATAGCATGTGCTTATCTTTCCTGCCATCTTTGCCTTTTACTGTAAAGTGAAATTCTGTATCCGCTCATCACATATAGTCTCGCAGCCCTTTATACTTTCATCTTTATCAATATAATTCCCCCAATGCCCTTTTGCCTTTATTGTATTAACTAGACTAAATATAAGACAAGTAGGTAAAAATAAGTCTAAAGTTGTCATTGTATGACTCCAGAATCAGCTGATTGTAAGAGGGGAGGTGGGGATTCATACTTGTAATTGGTAATCATGATATGCTAACCAAAACCTATAGGTGATAACAGCTTATTTGTTAACGGACAGACAATTGATGGCAAATCAGTGACAGTTCGGCAGACTTACCCACAGCCCCCGGCACTGTGCAGTAGGTTGATACTAAAGGCTCGAAGTGGCCACGGGGGGAAGGACGTGATAACTTTGGGTTCGAGTGAGAACTGTAGGTATGAATTTTGGCGAAAAACCGGGCATGAATGCCCCTTCATACTAACCTTAGCAATGCCGGCGCATGGTACCATGATATATAGGCTTCCCACTACAGGCGGTGGCCGTTGGGGAACTGAGATTTTTATTGGTGGATCCTTAAAGTCTAACCGTTCGCTGCTGGTGTCCCGCAGGTGACAGCCCAAGATGTAGATGGGAAGTAGCATATCTGAGGGCGTGGAAGGTACAACTTGGGCCAGGGTTCGTCTAGGACTTTTCAGGACTGGGAGACAAAGCTTTTCCATGTTACTCGTATTAAACGGCTAAAGATGAAGGTTCACGATTCGTCAATTAAATAGCACCCCCTCGACATAATTCTTACACAAGCCATCCGCTGCCAAATTGCTCCTGGGATGTCCCTTCAACACCCACTCACGGCCAATGCTATCTACAACCCCATCCCAATTTCCAAATCCACTAACTTAGTGGTAGTTATGGCAGCGGGTTTCTTTTTGCCGTGTTTTTCTAGAATAGTTTCAATTGTTGAGAAAAGCCTTCTAATGTGCCTGATTTTGCGCTTCTATATGGGACTAGCTGTTTGATTTGAGTTTGGGCATCGCTTCTTTAAACGAGGGGAAACTTGGGCTCTGACCTCCTGGGCTACTGTTTCTGTCTTCTGAACAGAGAGTGAGCATCCGGTCGTGGTATAATAGATGCATCTGCAGGTGCCTAATTTTGTGGAAATATCCTTAACACACTCCTCGGGCTACGTGACTCACCTTCCCATTGCTTTAAAAAAATCACTGATTGCCCTTGCCCCCGACGCCCTGGTGGACGGGGGCGCCTTGGTGAGTTCTCCCCTACTATCTATTGGATGAAGACTTTGTTTCTGGAGCTGGTAAGTCACGAATTCTCCAACCGCTTCCCCCATCCGCCATGTGTGCCCCTCCCTCTTGGTTTAGTAGTCAGTTGCTGTTCTCAACTTGTGCTGGAAAATTACTGCGGCCTACGAAGTATTTAGCACACTCATGACTCACCTGAGGTCAAAGAGATCTGAGAGCCTTGTTGTAGTATGTGGTGTACAATATAATCTACTCTCTTTTTCACCTGAGCTTCTTTGGCAGTAGGCCATACACTAAGTAGCTGGAGGACTCGGGACCAGCCCGAGAGATGCGTTCCGAGCAATCCGGCCCATGGGTAGAAACCCGCAAAACATGACCAGAAAACCCCTAAACCCTCCTTCATGCCACACCGGTACTATTCCCATTTCCTATAAGTCTTCTTTCCTCTTTCCATTCCCCCCTCGTCCTGATATCCCCTACCTTCCTACAATTCTTCGTATGGCCGAAACGGGTATTCATATACCGTTGGGAGAAGACACGTAAGATTAACTCCGCATAGGAGTATCGTGAATCCCAGATTATCTATACCTACTTCGCTATTGACTCATTTACCAACTTTGAAAACCCCAGCATCATGCGTGATACACACTGATAACATAAGAAAGCACATACTCAATTACCGGAATACGACTGCTCTCCCAATCATCACCGGTAAACTGGCCAACTCATAAGCTAACTAACCAACCAGGAGAGAATCAAAAACGAATGGGAAACCATCGACAGATAACTGCCCTACGGCGCAAACACAACCACTCCAGCCACGATACAATCCGCAGAGACTAGTCCCGGCAAGAAGAAATAGCACACATTCCGTGACCAATTCCTCTCCTCCCCCGAACGAAGTATCATACAACAAATGTCTTACCACGACATGATAGTATTATAATCGTGAACCTCCCCTCTCTTCCACCCCGCCCCCTCCCATTCGGCCAGCCGATATAAATAGGGGGCAGAAGGGATATCCATGGCGGGTAACCTCGCTCACGGAATAGTTCCTGCGGCACCATAAGACTGTGTCCCATTCTTATCTCTCTTACCCCAATTATTCCTGGCTCCCTCCTGTGGGGAGCAGGCGGACACTTGGTTAGGTGGAGCATAGAGAAATTTCTCATTAAGAGGGAAAGTATATAGAAGTAAGGAAAATGTCGAGTGATAAGGTATGATTTGAAAATCTTGAAGCTACCCCTTCGGCCTTTTGACCAACCCCTTAAATTACAGTAGATACCTTACCCCCGAGCACGAAGTAGCTTGGTAGGTACCCGCGAGAGAATCCCCGGTCAGTAAGTTGACAAACGTAAAAACCAAAAACATATTCGCGAGGAAGTGCCTAAACTTTTCGCAGAGCAAAAGATGCTTCCATCCATCCCAAGCCCATAACCTTTGGTATTTACGAATGTGAGAAAGAAAGGAAAGAGAGAGAAAAACAGACTTTGATTGATGCAGTCTACCTTCTCCCAGCACGGCCTCTCCCGCCACTGCCCATACCACCCATACCACCCATACCACCCATCATACTGGCAAGATCTGGCATACCCCCACCACCGCCCATCATTCCGCCAAACTGCTGCATCATCTTCGCCATATCCATTCCCGCAAATGGGTTCCCGCCACCGCCGGCGCCTCCCGTGCCGGGCATGCCACCAAGCGCCTTCATCATTTCCGCCATATTCCCACCGCCAGGTCCCCCCAGACCCCCTCCCATGCTCTGCATTCTCCGCTGCATCGCGGCTAATTGCTGCTGCTTGTTGGGTCCGTTCATGCCTACGCCTTGCTTTTGCATATTGGCCATGTTTTTGCCCATCTTTTTGGCCATGCCGGCCATCATCCTGTGCTGCGTTAGAACGTCTTCTACTTCACGGACGGAAGTCCCTGAGCCGTGGGCTATGCGTGTCATGCGGGTTGGTTGGTTGGTGAAACATTTCCCGTCTGAGTCGAGCTCTTTTTCAGTCATTGAGTCCATTATATAGCTTTTAGACGGTTAGCCGATCCTTAAACTGGGGGAGGTGGCGAGTGGGGGAGAGTGCACATCATTCTCTTCAGCTTCATGCTTCCCTCCTCATCACCGACATCACCCATCATCTGCGATAACCCGGGAATCATCCCAGCCATTTTACTCAGAGGTCCCATCTTCATGATATTGCCGAGTTGATCTCTCAAATCTCTAACTGTGAATATACCTTCCTGGATATGCTTCATTGTATCTTTCTGATCCAGCTTTAGGCTCTGGACATGCTCTACCAGACCTTGCATATCACCCATCCCTAGCAGCTTGGAAACAAACGCTTGGGGCGCAAATCGCTCGAGATCCAACATATGCTCTCCAGTGCCAATAAACACAATTGGTGTCCTAGTAGCAGCAACTGCCGATATCGCACCACCACCCGCCGCATGGCCATCCGTCTTTGTGATAATAATAGCACCAAAATCCGCACTCTCCTTGAAAGCCTTACTCTGAGCCTCTGCCGCCTGCCCAATAGATGCATCTAATACCATGATAGTTTGATGCGGCGTGACGGCCTGCTGGATCTGCACCATCTCAGCAAACAGCTCCTTCTCCTGCTGATGTCTTCCCGACGTATCAACAATAATGATATCGAACCGCTCCTTCTTGAACTTCTCCACTCCCTCCCGCGAAACCTTCACAGGGTCCGTCTCGGTGTATGATCCGTAGTAGGGGATTTTGGCCTTCGTAGCGTTCTGCTTCAATTGGTCAAATGCTCCAGCTCGGAAAGTATCCGCGCAGACAAGACAGGCCTTGAAACCTCGTGCTTGGTAGTGTCGTGCGAGCTTCGTACATGTTGTAGTTTTACCGGATCCTTGGAGACCGACAAACATGATGACATTGGAGCGACCCTTCTTGGGCTTGAACGGTTCGCTGTGTGGGTCGACGAGTTTGACGAGTTCATCAAAAACAGCCTAACGGAAGAGCATCAAGAATCGAGCTTTAAGCTATAAAGTGAATATGAGTACCTTCTGGATTAACCGTTTCTTATTGACATTCGGATTGAGCTCTTTAAAATTTACTGTGTGTCTTATCGACTTTCGGAGGTTGCTGACGAGCTTGACATTTACCTGTGCGCAAAGTTAACCGCTAGCTATCGAGTGGTAACGGAGCCCCATACATCAGCTTCTATCAAGGCTGAGCAAATCTCCTTGAGCATCCCATCGAAAACCTAGACAACCGCTATTAGCAGTGCCCTCCTCCTCCGGTGGCGCGCAGAACCAGAGGCTCAAACCTTCTCATCGACAAGATTAGATCGAGCAAGGTCGGAAACCGCGCTTGTAATGCGCTTCCCTAGATCGGCGAGAACCATTGTTAGGGGATTGTATGAGAGTTAATGTGGGGATGGGGGGGTGCAACACAGGCAAAACTGAGGTGCTAGGAGATGTCAAAGTGTCCATCAGCTATTGATAGCCCCAGAAACTCTGGTATTGCCGCTCAATGTTACCCGGCTCAACAATATATTAAATTTTCTAAACTTTATTTCTCCCAACTACTTTTCCCCAATCTTTCACAAACGACCCAACGAGAAATACCCAGAATGTCCGCAATTCAATCCCCTTCATCTTCGGCACCCGTGCGAGCAAAACGCCCCCGAAAGGGTTCTTCTACTACTGATAAGGGCACCTCTCAAGCGCTAGAACTCAGGACCCCGGAGGAGGAAAAGGCCGCATTGAAGCAGTATGGCCGTGGCGAGAGCATACCTGTTCGCTCAGCGCGGGACAAGAAATTACGAACCAATCTCGAGAAGATTGAGCACAGATACAAGGATGCTGCGCTTAGGGCTAAAGATGCGGAGTTGCTGCTTGGGGAGGAAAGGGGATATATTGAGGCGGAGGGGATGGAGAGGACATACAAATTTAAGCAAGCGGATCTACGGAAGTCGGTGGACGTTGCAACAGCTCAAAAGGTCTGGCTTCGCCCTGGGGTCGGAGACCGGAGACTGACTTTAGGTGAAGGGATTTGAATTGAAGTTACCCACATTCGGCCCGTACTTTATGGACTATACCCGCAATGGACGATATCTACTCCTCGGTGGGAGAAGAGGTCATGTTGCGTCATTCGACTGGCGGGAAGGAAAGCTGGGTTCGGAAATGCAATTGAAAGAAACCGTTCGAGACGTCAAGTCTGTCCCCCTCCCCCCACGGCGATCCTCAAACCCTCCGAGCTAACTGTCAACAGATGGCTTCACAACGAGCTCTTCTTCGCAGTGGCTCAAAAAAAGTACACATACATCTACGACTCACAGGGTGTCGAAATCCACTGCTTGAAAAACCACATTGAAGTGACCAACATGGAATTCCTACCTTACCACTTTCTCCTCGCAACAATCGTCAGTCCCACAAACCTCCCCCATCCTCACTCGAGCAAACCCTAACAGCACCACAGGGAAATGCAGGCTGGCTAAAATATCAAGACACCTCCACTGGAAACCTCGTCAGCGGGCACAGAACCCGCCTCGGCAGCCCCGCCTCCATGGCGCAAAACCAGCGCAACGCCATAATCCACGTCGGCCACGCAAACGGCAGCGTAACCCTCTGGTCCCCAAATATGAGCACGCCACTGGTGAAAATGCTCACCAACCGCGGACCCGTGCGCGCGATAGCCATCGATAGAGGGGGACAGTACATGGCGACAGCGGGGGCAGACTCTCGTATGAACATCTTCGACATCCGTACCTTCCGCGAAGTGCACTCCTATTACACCCCGACGCCCGCCTCTACCCTCGACATTTCCGACACAGGTCTGCTCAGCGTCGGCTGGGGCCCCCACATAACCGTATGGAAGGACGCGCTCAAGGTAAAACAGACAAGCCCCTACCTCTCCCACCTACAGGAGGCCTCCCACATCTCCCGTGCGCGCTTCTGCCCATACGACGACATCCTGGGCGCCGGACACCAGAACGGCTTCTCAAACCTCATCATCCCCGGCGCCGGCGAACCAAACTTTGACGCGCTCGAAGCGAACCCGTATGAAACCACCAAGCAGCGCAGAGAACGCGAAGTCTCCGCCCTACTCAACAAACTACAGCCCGAAATGATATCCCTAGACCCGAACTTTATCGGTCGCATCGGCAAGGGCAGCGAAGAGGTGCGCGGCGCAGAGCCGGAGGCTGCGGAGAAGCTGCGGGAGGCGGGCGAGGGGTCGAGCGTCCGAGTCAAGAATAAGATGCGGGGGAAAAATTCCGCCCTCAGCAAGTACCTTCGCAAGAAGGGTAGGAGGAATGTCGTCGACGAGCGAAGGCTGGAGCTGGAGGCGCTGAAGAAGGAGAGGGAGCTCAGGAGTAAGGGCTTGCCGGCCAGCGCGCAGGAGGAATTTGGGCCCGCGTTAGCAAGGTTCGCGAAGAGGCCGGGGAGGTGATGTATATATCATAATCTTGCTTTGCTTGCTTGTCTGTCACGGGGCGAGGGGAGGTTTTATCCACAAAAAAGTCTTTCCTCCCCTCTTTCATCCTTCCCCTCACCTCCCGTTTGTATCATACATAGATTAATCTAACCGTCCTCAATTGATTATCCCATCGAGTGATTTTTCGTGAGCACGATAATGCACAGGACACTCTTGAGCAGTAAAAAAAGAAAAAAAGAAATCTAAAAAAGACAAATTCGATAGCCATCAACGCCTATCCCTCCTCTCATATCTATCCCGACTCCTCCTACGGCTATCCCGCTCATCCCTGCTCCTATGCGACTTCTCCCCGCGCTCGCGGTCACGATATCTATCGTCGTGACGGTCGCGGTCCTTCTGATGGCGATGACTATCCCGATGATCCCTGGAGCGATCCCGCCGACGGCGGTCGTGATCGTCACGAGTGAATTCCCGGTCCCTGCCATTCCGATGGCCCCTATCCGTGCCACCGCCGCCATCCATACCCTTCCCGCTCTCGGTCACTTCGGACTCATCGACGACCTTGCCAGTCTTCCTATCGACCAGCACTACAGGAACATAAGTAGTATCCACCCTCTTGCCGCCCCGCTTCCTCCCGGATTTGTCGGCCTTGCCCCAGGTGCCGAGTTCGGGTACTTCTTCCTTGGTTTTCGCTCCGATGCCCAGGAACGCCGGTCGCTTTTCCACGATGCGAAGCTTACTCTGCTTCGCTGCGCCTCCGCGCCCGCCAACTTCCGTCCCTTCCCGCCAACCCATCCCCCGTAGCAGCGCCGCGCCGAACTCCTCGACGGGGACGGCAGCGTAGTCGTCCAAGGTGGGCACGTCCGGGCGGGAGGCCACGTCGGCTTTGTAAGCTTGTAGCTCGTCGCGGTCGCGCCAGTCGGTGTTTCCGGCAGATGAGGGGAGGATAAGCGTTGTCGAGGGAGGTTTTGAGGAATCGGATAGGAGCGCGGCGAGAGCTTGTTCCTCTTCTGTTTTCGCACCCACGGGCTCCTCCCCCGCCTCCCCCAATGGCGGAGGTGGAGGTGGAGAGGGTTGGTTATCCTCCGTACGTCTCTGAAAAACTTGCAATCCGTAGTGCACCCCCGCGCCTGTGTCCACCTCCATCGCTCCCTCCCCCTCCGAACGGCCCGCAAGCGCCTCCGGGGGCAACCAGACGCTACCCTTCCCTCTCCTCCGCTCGGCTTCTGCCCTCCAATCTCGATTCTTCATCGCGGCGATAACTAACGGCCCCTTTTCCTCCTCCTGCTTCTCGCCGACCGCGCCGCCGCGAGCGGCGTCGAAGGCGGTTATCACGTGCACTTTCTCGCGGTGGTTGCTGTCATCGTCATCCGAGTCCGAGGCTAGGTTTGCTGCTGGGCGTTTCTTGCCCAGGGGTTGTTTGGTGGTGGCGGGGGGCCTCGGAGCGGTGAGGGAGATGGAGATTGGTTTGGACATTTTTGATCTTTTGTCCCGGGGCCGTTGGTGGTGGTGGTGGTGCTGGTGGTGGTGGTTAATGGTTGCGGAAAAATCGATGGCGGTGATGCTCAATCAGTGCTAGTGCTGAGGCTGAGTGTGGACAGGGATTTTCGCCAAGACTCTAGACTCATCACCAGCTATCACTCGAGAATTAAAATGGTTTCTTTGTCGGAAGCGTTACGTCAGTGTGGTGGTAAGCGCAAATACTGGTGGACTGAGTACCAACCAACCCCCCCCCCCCCCCCGACTATCTCAGCCGTGGTGGCGCGCGGGGCTGAAGAGCAAGGCGATATGAAGTGAGATCGCGATCCCCGAACCCGCCAAAACTCCCCCACCTAACATCATACATTGATACCTGCGCCAAAATCCTTCTCCAATCCGCCTCCACCACATCCGCACACCAGCAAACAAAAAGTAAAACAACTTCACTATGACGGCACTACCCGTAACAGCCACTCGTCTTCTGTGAGTGGTACGGTACTGTACGGAAAGAGGATAACCCCGCATTCTATTTATGACACAGATGGGTGGATATACTCGTGCGCAGCAAAGAGAAGGAAGAAAGGGAGGTGAAAAGCTTGAATGCTGTTGTGATACCATACCGGTAGTTGCAGAGGGAAAAAAGTAATTCCTAGTGTTGATTGGTATGACGGTTTTTTTTTGTGGGTGGTAAGTCACGTGCGAATTATGAAGGATGATGACACGGCATATTATTATTCCGAGATGGGAATTCGTGAGATCGTGAGAACATGAGGGCATGATACAGGTATGATGGGGAGGTGATGGGGGAGAATACAGAGCGCTATGTTACAGAGCATGATAGAAACTATATAGACAGAATGGAATGAATAATAAACAAGCAAGCCGAACAACAGAAGACCCCCGATTCGCCAGATTTTGAAAAGCCGTCTAATGCGTGGGTGAAGTGACCACAAGCGAAAGAGTAAAAGAACAGAGTAAATAAATAAGAGGGGGAGTGATGGGGGACGATCAAGCCTCATGATACACCGGCGGAGAGAACAAGGCTACTCCCGCTTCGCCCTCGACTTCGAGGACAGTCCCATAGCTCGGCGGCGAAACGGGTACATTCTCGTACACGGGTGGGGACTCTTCGTCCCAGCTGATACCCAGACCGCTGCGCTCGGTGACGAGCAGGTGGAGTTGCATGCGCAGGACTCTGGCAGCACCGGTGGGATTTACGACTTTTGATGGTGGAATGGGGCACTAGCTCACTGTTAGTACATTTGCCAAAAGGAATAAGGAATGGAGGAGGGGCGGGCGGGGGGGACAAACATGTTCTTCCGCAACAATCAGTTCCACAACAAGGTTATGTGTCACCGAAATCCCGCAAGGCGAGTCCACGTCGCACGCAGCGCCCGCGTGCGCGGGGATGCCAGCGTTGAATTCAACCTCAATCTTCCCGTCTGTGCCCGTGAAATCCGACTTCCAGCCAGTCTTGACTTCGCCGGAGCCCACCGTCCGTACATCGTCGTGCAATAGGCCTTTGCCGTCACCGCCAAGCTTGCTGCTGTGCTGTTTGCAAGCCGGAGAGACGACGCGGGAGGTTTCATCGATGCGCCAAGTTAGCTTCTTTAGACGCCAGCGGCTGGTCCGGGCCTTGGAGAGGACGCCGTCGAGGCGGATCTGGAGCGGAAAGTCACCGCCGGGGTGCACAACGGGCGGGAGCGTGATGTTGGCAGAGAGGTTCGTCGGCGGGAAAACGCGGGTACTGTGTTTGTCCAGTCCCGGCAGAACTGCCCTTTGTAGGGTTATCGGCCTCTCGAACTTGATCTCTACGCCCTTTATGGTTGTTGCGGTTGCGTAAATGCAGTAGGCTATCCTGCTGAGGGCGTTGGTGTTGCTGGCGGGGAGGTGGCCTGGCAGGAGGTAACTGAATGGGTAGGTGTGCGTTCCCTTCCTGAGCACCACTGGCTCGTTGATCAATGACCATCTGTGCAGCTCGCTGACACTGGTGGTGCAGTCCGGACAGTGCGCACTCACAGGCTTGCGAGTGAGCACGTCCGCTAGTAGGCGCACGGTGAAGGCCTCGAAGGTCTGCTCCGTTTCCTTGACCTCCAGCTTCATTATGCCGGACAGCAGCGCACCAGTAGACTCCCTCGGCGGGCCATAGCAGACGAGTGGCGGGGACTCAATGGTCATGGCTATGTCCGCAGGGCTCTCGATGAAGCCCTTCGGGCCCCCTCTACCGCTGCTGCCCTTGTGCATGGTGCGGATTGGGAGCCTTGGTCGGTCGGTCTCGGAGCTTGATCGGTTGCTTGACCAGCGGCGTTTCGGCGCTGGGTGTTTACTGTCCAGTGGGATGATTGATGTCATGGATGTGGACGGGGATGCCCCGTGGTTGAAGAATGCGATTCCTGGCATTGGGGACGTAAGGTTCCGGTAAATTGGCATAAAATATATCTCTCGGAATTCCTCCCAAGTAGCTGATCGCCTCGGCTTCTGTAATGAGGATCCGTCGAAACGATTGAAGGAGGAAAGAGTGAGAAAAAAAAGAGAGTCCCTTTCAATTGTGGTTGATCTTGTAGGTAATAGGGTGATGCACGCAGCGGTTGCTCCTTCAAGGGCAATAGGAGAGTTGCAGTAGTGTTGTGGTGGGGTATGGGGTAAAAGTAGGTAGTAAGAGTTTATGATATAAGGTTATCCTTGTCTGGATCCTGCTCAGGGTATATCGTACTGCTCTCGAGAAGTGATAATCGAGAGGTGACAAAGCCAGGGTTTTTAGTTCTCTGGGGAGACGTTTGATTCAATTAGGAAGTAGGAGCGAAACCGGCAGATGGTTAAGAGATCTTCTGGCGGAGTGCTTTAGCTTGCAGATACATCCTCCCCGCCAAATGCGCAATATCGTGATTGTGGTGTGGTAGAGGGTGTGTGTGTGAGTATGGAAAAAGTAAAAGCTCTTCCTCCTTCACCTATCTAATTTCTGGTTGGGTGGGGTAGTTGCACTGTGGTGCGAGTTGGGTAGCACGGGTATGATAGGTGGCGGCGGATATGGGTTGGTTTGCACCTTTGTATGAAGGAGCAATGATGGTCCGAATGCGGCTGCGCTGTGCTAGCGATGCTGTGCCTGGACCGGAGTGAGTGGAGCTACGAACGGGCGGCCACTGGAAGGTAAATTGCTCCCCAGGAAGCTGAAAGCTGAGTATGGTGAGATGTCTGGCGTCTGTCGTATGCTCTCGTCGTCGGCCAATCTCACTCGATAGGATAGCTGGCCCAATCCCCGACGAGAGGGTCAGATACCAACGGGAGAAGGGGGGGGGTGAGAGCGGGAATCAGGAGGTGGGAAAGGCTCTTGGGAGAGGAGCTGTGTGCTATGGTGGGTGAGAGGGACGAAGTCCTCTATATAGCTGTGATGGTCATACTTTAATAACACAGGTAAAGTAATAGAATACGAGGGAAAAACATACTATGTGGATCACGGCATCATAGCTAACTAAATAAGCTACCATACCACCAGCAAAGGTGTGTGTGTGTGTACTGTAACTTATGCGTGATGTCCTTCAAACAACAAGCAAGCAAGAGAGAGTGCTAGCACTAGTACCAGTACAGCAGTAGCGGTAGCCTCATTACGGTAATTGTCATCATCACCTCCCATCACCATTTCTGCAGGAGGTCACGACTACAGTGCTCTGTGTCTCTGTGTCTCTGTGTCCCCACCGGTAAGGTTGCCGGCACCGTAGTCACCAACCGGGTACAAGTACAAGCCATCATGGCTTCTCCGCATCCACCACCAGTACCGGTACTCGAGTACTCACAGCAAGGTCTAGCTACAAGTGGACATGAGAGAGAAAAACTTCTCTTCTTTCCCCATTCCCCTACGGGTATGGTAGTCCGTTCCATGGGCCGACCCCAACATCAAAGAGGGTTGAAAACAGGCGAGAAAAGAATGCAAAGCCTGGGTATGACGAGTGAATGAATAAAAAAAAAAGAGGGCTTGCTAGCACGAGTGCAGCATAGCTCTGTTGCGGTAGACCCGCTAAGCTACCCCGGGTTTTCCATTACGTTTGGAATTGTTCCTTTAAAAGCATGGAGGAAGTACTCGAGTACTGCAGAGTAACACTTTCGCCCTCTGCCCAGCCTTGGTTCCCGCCGCTAAGAACTATACAAACAAGGGAACCGCCTTCCCTTTTTCTTTTTCCTCCTCTTGTCACCACTTGCTTTCTTTTTCTCCCTCGCACTCTCGTCCCTTTCGAAGGGGAAAGACCGGTGTGTCCCGCATCGTGGTGTAATTCCTGCACTTCAGGAGCCCTGAACCAATTCAATGCGAGGTCAGAGGGTGAAAAAAAAAAGTGAGACATCGAACCATCCTCAATGGTGCTCTACCCTACGAGTACAGTACCGCGAGCACTGTAACGGTACGGGTACCGCATGGGGTACAGTGCTCGAGTACCGCACCTGCTCTCGGACGAGCATCATACAGGTTATCATAGCATTCAACTCTCAAGCACCTTGTAAGGTCTGCACCGCCAATCAATTACCGGTATGATACTGTGATTCGCCTTTCCCAGTCCGTCCGCCATCACCGCACACACTCGGTGGGGCATTAGGAACCGGAAAGAGAAGTGATCGTCCATATCCTTTACAGTAACCGCAGACAGTACGGTGCTGAAACCACGAGACCGCACCAAACTGCTGGAAACTAAAGGTCTTGGGGGGATACAGTACAGTACCGTACTCGTCCTCGACCACTGGCGACTGGGGGTAGCTCCGAAGGGACGACGCCATCACAAATAGAGTGAGGGTGTAGACCAGAGTCAAAAGCACAAGTACGGTACTGGTACAATATCCCAATCACGTACATGTTCATCGGGGTAATGAAAACTCCCACCCGTCACCAATTCAGCGGGTGCAACTTCAAGGCAACTAATCTGAGCTTTTAACTCTACGGTGCCTCTTTCCGGACAGCAGACAGCATGATCGTCCGATCAAATACCAGAAATCCCTACATAGCCACCCTCTACCGTGTCATACGGTATAATAGTCTCCACACAATTCTCCCTGGCTGGGCGCTTTTACAAAAGCTCGCGCCATTCTACCGTCATTATTAGCAAAAAAATCGCGAAAGGGAGAACATTCCTTCCCAAAACGGGGCCAGAATAAATGAATAAGCCTTGTCATGCTCCTCTCCCTTGCTTTTTCTTCCCTTCTTTCCCCCAATGGGCCCCCTAAGAGCAACTGCATCCTGACTTCTCCCTCCCGCCGACATTTCCACCATCGGTGGCGACGGGGAAGGGAAAGGAAAGTTTCCTAGCAGGTTAGCGCGGATCGGATCGGACCCGAGCGAGGCAAAGCATCCTACGTAGACTACGGGTGTCTACCTCCTCGTTCATCTGTCTGTCTGTCGGTCGGTCGGTCGCCTGACTCGACCGACTAGTCGACGCTAGCATCGGGGAGTAATCGGAACAAGTCTCAGTCTCATGCCTCTAAGGCTTTTGGCTTCCCTCTTCTGCCTGCTGCGTGAGGCGAGCGCTGTGGTCTAACGTGCACTTGACGCCATCCCATCGAATCCTCGCCCTCTACAAGTACTTGTACTGTACGGTATCATACTTGTACGAGTACGGTGCGGGTAATTTAGCAATGCAAAAGCTTTGTGCTGCCCCGTGTCATGGTGGTATGGTACGGTACAGCTAATCGACTCCGGTAGAGCACATTTCCAAGCATCGTACCCAATGCGGTACCGCTACCAACCAACACAACTCCACTACCGTACAGTACGTGGAATGAACAACACCTACCCAGCCTGCACGTACTCGCGCCGTCACTGTACTCTTACTCTTTCTTACTGTGTTCGTCCGCTTTGTTTCGTTTCCAAATTCTACCCATATCGCCAGTCCATCAAAGCCGGGAAATGGCCGGGAACAAGCATCCAGTATATTAAAAGCTTCACCACCAACGCAGCCTGACCTCGCACCCCATTTCCATCCAATTCCATCGTCACGAGGTGCGTGACGGGCTAAGCGAGTGGACAGCCAACCCCCGACCCGTGCGGTGGGAGATTCACAAATTTTTTAAATTTTTTCCCTCCTTGTGGAAAGTTGTTAGGTAATTTGGATGCACAGTGTCAATCCCCCCACCGCGCACAGCTCAGGGTATCGTGGGTTGGATGGAAGGCTTTGCACGATGGTGGTTCTTGGAACTGGTTTATGATAACCTGTAGGCGTGAGCACGATACCGGTGGTAAGGGTCCGAGCATAGGGGGGGGAGGGGAGCAAGGCAAGAGGGGAGGGGAGAAGGAGGGGAGAAGGAGGGGAGAAGGAGGAGGTTAGCCGAGCCAATATAGTCTGATATAACGAATCGATCGCAGCATCGCATCTCGGACCTAGAGCATGGTAATATCACCCTTCAATACTACACCATGAATTAGTAGACTATTTGTACTCGTACGGTTATCATATAGTCTACAGCACTCGAGCTATCCAATACTATGCGAAATCCGGATTGCGAAAACAGTCCCCAAGAAAAAGTACTCGTAGTAATAAACAACTTCCTTCCTTTTCTTTCTTTCTTTCTTCCTTCCTTCCCCTGACATCATCCAAAGGTAACTTGTGTCAAAACAAAAAAAGAAACAAAAACAAAACAGCCTTCCTTCCGAATCAAGCCACCCCGCCCCCAAACCCTCTTACTGTAGAGTACCACAACCTTGCTGGGATGATCTAGGTCCCAGAGTACCCTACCGCACTGAAGACAGTGTAGAGAGTACCGGTACTCGAATACAGGTAGCACAACGGTAGCTACCGGTACAGTACCGTAGCTCCGCGGAACCACGAGGAGATGGCGGAAGCTTTTTTTTTTTCCTCTCTTCCCTTGTCCTCCCTCCCCTTCCTGCCCTGTCTGCCCTGTCCATCCATCCATCCATCCATCCATCCATCCATCCTGACCTCACGTCCCGTCCGTGCGAGGGAAAAAAAGAAAAAAAAACTGTTACTTGGGAAGAGGGGCTTTACGTAAAATTCCACTTCTTCACCACCACCACCACCACCACCCCCTAGCACTACAGGTTAAAGGTAAAGGTAGAATAAAGGTAAAATTGGGGCAGCGAGCGAATGGGATCTCGTAGCGGTGTGCACGGGTTTGATCCTAAAGTTAATTTGCGTTTGAGACGGTGAGCGAGGTTTCTTTTTTCTTCTTTTTTTTTTTTTGTGTGTGCGGTGCGGTGCGGTGTGGTACTAGTACTGTATCGTGCTCGAGTACGAGGGTGGTTATAATTTACGGTGATAACTGTGTGGAATCGTCCGGTTGAGGAAGGGGGGTGCGTGGACTACGGTAGGGTGGATTAAGTTAGATTAGACTATCGTCGAGAGAGATGGTTTGTGTCCGAGGGGAAGTATCATGCATACTCTACTCGAGTACTCTACTGTACTCGTACAGTATGACACCGCGCTGTAGTTTACCCTACCGGTGCCGGTGAGGGTGGTTGCTGTACTGTACCGTACTGCACCGCGCCGTATAATACCGTATCGTACTGGTTATGCTGGCATGACCGGTCGTTTTTGGCAGAGTCTCGCGGACATGATCGCCATAGCCGGCTTATCATATCATATCATATACGAGTAGTAAATTACCGTACATGCCTGTGTGAGTACGGTACGGGTGCTCGAGTGCGGGTGCGAGCGGGATCCGGGAAAGGATCCGGGAAAGGGGGATTGTTACACTGGTTGGTGATATAAGAGGTCTCTCGAGTGAGTGGCCGTGACTTGTAGATGGATTCCGCGGCTGGGTAATGCAAATGTTGTCAGGCAGTCCACCGGTACACTTGTACGCACGGTAGGGTACGCTATTCGCACAGGCACCACCCAGTAGGAGCATTGCGGTGCGGCGGATCCAAACACAAGTATAGATAGAACAGAGGGGAATAAGGCATGAAGTGTATATTTTATATATCATATCATCGTGAGGCTTTTGGAGTGCAGTCGCACGGGTACCGTAGAGAGGGCTCGTCGTGTCAAAGCGCTTTTAGAAGGAAACCGCCATTGCATGCCACCCACCGAGATCCAAGTATAATAGGGCAAAATGTTTGGTGGTGGTGGTTTGTGAGTAGTTAGGACCGCCTGGACATTGTATGAGCCCTATATCATACGTGCCATACATTTGCTTGATACGGTGGAATGCTAAGCTTTGCCCAGCTCAGCATGCCTCATTTTCTTTTCTTTTCTTTTTTTTTCTTTTCTTCCCTTTCCTTTCCCTTCCCCAATCCGCGCTGCGCACCACACGGCAATCAAACCAAACAATTTTGCAGAACGGGGTCCGCGGCAAA